ATCTTTTGTTCTATAGTGAGCATTGAAGCTGCGAGACACATGTTAAAACTGGTACATGTTTCCATACATCCAGCATGATGGTAACTTTTAACATATCTTAGCTTCTAGTATCTTGTAGGCCCACGGTCTATAGATATATTTTCGAAATTTCACATCATAACGAGGATTGCGAAAAATCTGGCATTACATAAAGGGCATCAATAAATATTCTTTCCACCAAAATACATTCCTAGTTCACTTTCATGAAATAGCATAAACAGTGAAAGAGATCTATTTATGTCAGAGTACCACGATGGGTTAACAGTAAGTTTACGGACTTACAGGTGGATATGAGAATTTGAGAAATTTACTATTTAGTATCATTATTTCTGACCCCAATGGGACAGCGGTAAGTCTATGGATTTACAACGCTGCAATCGATGAACCGCGGTGGACACAGTAGATAGCCTAGTGTACTTTTGCTTAAATAACAATATATAAAACTATATATCTAAAGAGATAGACAAGTCTCACTCCGGAAAATACTAAAAAGTTCAAAACCTCTTTTCTTACAACTGGGCGAAGTCCTCACTTCCATATACACCACTTCTGCGTATTTCCAACGGCGCGAGGAACAGACTTCATTCATAGTAGTTGTAGGCGATGAAGAAGTAGACTACCCGTCGACCTTCACCTCCAGTGGTGGAAATCTAGGATCATAATCAGTAAACAAACTTTTAGATTGTTCACTAGCACCTGCAATACACACTTTACCACGATCCGACAAAGAGCGTGATCGAATAATCTCATCATCTAAGGTAGCAGGTCCAGGAAGAACACCACGAACCACCTCCATTATCGAATAGTTCTCCACTGTGACCTCTGTATGTAACTTAGAGATAAGGCTTTCATCAGTGAGTTATTTGCCATGAATGCACAACAAATTCAACATAGTCACTTAATATAAATGTAACCTCATAGTCCCCCGGATAAGTGACAATAGATGAAACTGAAGCAGAACAAAACTGAGAAATAACAGCTTGCACAAGCTGTCCTTGATTAATTTTAGTAGAATCCACAAACACTGTTATTTTCATATCTTCTATAAAACCATATTGAACAAATCTAGCTTCATCAGAAGCTCAGGACGTAATAAACCAAGTCCAGAAACTTCCACATTTAAAATCACAAACAAAAACTACACAACGCGATAAAACAAAAAGAGTAAGTCACTAACTAAACATGAAATCAGAACTGATAAAAAAACACGTTTGTACTCTGAGACAGCAGAACGCGCTAATTTAAAAATACACTTTGTGCCTGCCAGGGATTGAACCTGGGACCTTTCGCGTGTTAATCGAATGTGATGACCAGTACACCACAAGCACTTATTTAAGTAATTTTTCCAATTTCGTTTCTAAACTGAAGAAAGCTCTCATTTGTATTGTATATGCATTATAGAGTTATTAGAATTCATGGGTATCATTTCATAGAGTACTGGATGTTAAACTAAAAATATGTGTTATATCCAGCTGGTTTTTGTTTTTAAGCGCAATGCTACAAGGTTTCGATACACTCGGTGGATAGAGCCCATTTATGTAGATTTGCACTAAAACAAACAAACTTAAATTACGTTGCAACATTACATATTTCAGTCTTAGGCTTCTCTTTTCCCAGAAAGCAAAATGAAAGATCGGCTGTTTTTTTCACCACTCTAGTGATTGATAGCTTTCTTTAATGCTTCATTAATGAATACCTAAAAGAAAATATTATTTAAAATTAAGATTAAAGAATGAACACTGTAAGAACATTTTCCCCAACTTCTCTTCAAGTGTTTGTAACGTGGTTGTTATCACGTCGACCTAAGTCACGGAATGTCACAGATTCGATACGTGGCAGGCATTTTGTCACATGTCTAGTTGACACCTAAATGACCTCCCATGGGGAGTTCATGGGCAACTTTCAATATTTCAGAGAGATTTGGTAAACACTAGCCCAGTCCTCTGAAGCTGGCACATCTGGTGGTCTCCATTTCCTCATAAGCACACCATTTTTGACAAAATAACCATTTATAAATTTCTCCAGTTCATCTTTTTGGGAGTTCATATTTAAATAGTGAAAAGATCTGCAGATATTTTTCTTGCTCAGTGATCAGTTTACTTTTAGTAAATGGATCTTCTCTGGGTTAGTCAGATCCCTCACCGAGGAATCATGAGTAGGACAATTATCCACAAGATCCTTGCGGATCCAATATATGTCTGAGACAAATATATAATATCGTCCCCTGAATCCATGTCTATTATTTGATTTTGGCTTAATTTCTTAGCCTGAGCTCGAATCGCCGCACATGAGGGAAACACATCGGAATTCTCCTCAACAACATCATCATCCTTAGATAAAACAGTAATTTTAGGTTCGGCAACAACTTTTCCTCAAGCCAAGTCGTTTCCCAACAGCAATGATACACCCTTAATTGGCAGAGTAGGTCTTACCACAACCACAACTGGTCCCGAAACTAGGTCTGATGCTAAATAAATGTTATGAAGAGGAACATTAACACAGCCACCCTCAAAACCCTAAGCAAAAACATACTCACCAGTGGCAGAAATCGAATCTAAATGCAATATACCTTCTAACAACAATGATTGAATCGCACCAGTATCACGTAGAATACGTATGGGTATGGGACTGCCAGTGTCATTTGTCAAAGACACAGACCCAAAAGGTCTATATTCTTCCCTCATTAGATCAGCTTTTATATCAGTGGCTAAATCAACAACATCGGGTGATCTGGTGAAACTACGTCTATATGTGGACACAAACGCACTG